TGTAAATTGCATTCTCCCATTGAAGTTTCGAAATTCTGGTCTTGGAATGATGTCCTCCCTTCTTTTTTTGTGTCCCGCATTGCAGTGACTAATATGGACTCCCCATATTGTATAGAAATGAAAATAGTGTACTCAAAGTCCATTATCTGGTTGTCTGTCTGAGTAGATTTTAGGTCACCTTGATGTGGCCAAATCTTGATAAGGCACAAGTTACAGTACACAACTAAAGAATGCTCATTCAGTTTGTCCAATAAACGTCCATATAATTTGAGATCCTGTCCATGTGTGCTGAAAGGATCAAAAGTGTTGCGGGAAACATCCAATATTGTTTATATGTTCAATGTTGGAGGCTAAAAGCATGATTTCGGTCCCAAGGCTCACAAAATGCGACCCTTGATTTGTACAGGACATAAGGTTGAGATGGGGTCCGGCCTATCTTTTGGGGTAACGTGTAGCCATTTCCTAGGACGAAATGTACTTCAGATCTCAGCTGGGTCAGCGCAGTCCTCTTCGCTCCGTTAGTTTTGTATCGCTCCATTGGATCATGGCGGATTCCCTGCTGATTGGATCCACACTGTTTCATCGCTTCGTTGCTGCCATGGATCTTGAGCCTCTGTGCTTCCAATTCCGCACTGGTTTGGTCTGGAAGATTGCACGCAATGTATGGAAATGTGTCATTGTGTGTGTCATGTATCATTTTCAATGCGCGCACGAAACATAAAAATATCAAGTGAAGAAAAATATTCGGTGCACGATATACGGTATACGTGTGCATTTGCATTTATGTACTATAACCGTATGCAATAATATAAAATAGTATGAACGTAGCGATGCTGTCAACTATGTGTTTTCGATTCTCTTGGTCCTGGAGTTGGATACCAAAGAATAGCTAATTTGCAAGTTAGTGAAGAAAAAGCGAAGTGGAGAACAAATACAATGGCTCAGTGCTGCAAAACATATGGATCCATGTGAAGAAACCAAATTCCAGAGTCCAGAGACGCACTTTCAAGGGCAAATTATGGGTACGTCGTTCCCATTTGCACATAAGAGATTTTTTTTAACCACCGGGGTGCCTATTCGTTTAGTCTTCCATGATCCCACATGAGCCATTGACGTTGGTTGTTCTTTGGATCTGTGTTAAAACATTTGGAATCCAATGTTTTTTGGTCTGTTGTAAAGGAACGCCCCGCTGCGTGTCAGATTCTGCGCAAGGAAGGTGGTAGATCCTGGTAGGTGGTCATTGGTTTTTGATGATACCATTTCCAGAAAAAGAGGAACATACACAGGATTCACGAACGACTAAACGATAACGAAAACGATAACTTTTGGCATCAAAAATGGTCCGTGCGAGACAGTGCCACTGTCTTTTCGCCACCTTTCCCTTCCTTTTCCTTTTCCTTTTACCTGCTCATGTGAATTCTTTGATCAAGGTGTGAAGTGAGCGCTTGGGAAAAATACAATAAATTGGAAAAAACGATAACGTGTGAAAAAAAAGAACATTTCAATGAGCTTGGGGGTTTTACAAAGCCCCACATGTTTTTCGGGTTCGCCACTATGCACATGATAGTCGGTCAATACAAATTCAACTCATTCAGCCCCACATTGGCGGTCAATCGCCAAAGTAGCCAACCCATCCTTAATCGTGATAGTATCTGGTGATAGTATTTACAGAAATGTCCCCTACCTGATCTTCATGTCGGCTCATGTTACCCATCATGTCATTTTCATCATTTTTCCTACCCAGATCGTTGAGCCTGGGTGCTCGGGAGGACCCTGAACTTGATCAGCTAGCCACCAAGTACCGTGACTATGCGCTGAACAGGCGTGGCCACAATGGGCTCCGAGGGCCAATGCTTCCACAGATTTTTTTGAGTCTGGATAGTCTGGAATGGGCAGCAATTTGGATTTGGGTGTTGCTTTTGATGATTTTTGATGTGTTTGTTTGCTTCGTTTCTCTGATTTGGTGCTCTGGGGACTCTGGGGCTCTATCCCTTGCAGAATGGTCCCATGAGGTGAGGACCTTCAAAACAACGGCCACAACCACACTACCGCAGCAACAACAACAGCAACAGCAACAGCAACGACGACAATGACAAGAAGAAAGCGACAGACAAAACAAAAACATATAGAAACAAAATTGGGAAACATGATGAAAAATGCACAGCAACAATTGCAAGAAGCAAGGGCAAAACATTCAAAAATCCAAAGCAAAAAGTTGATCTCCAACTCCAAAACATTGCAAATGCCGCGCAACAAGGTCTAGATTGAAAACGTCATGAATAGACTGTAAAACACATATCGAAACATACCGAAACTTCAAATGCTGCAAAACCCCCGTCAGGTGAGTAGATTTTCCCTTCCCTTGCACAGGAAAAGTAGATCAACAGGGAACTCCATAAGACATGTTAATGTTGTGCCCCATACTGCAGGCTACCATGCGGATGGCCGAACGGCTGCGTAGGTGTTGGCATACTCTCGTTTCGGCTTACACCTTGTAGGCTTTGGACATTGGACATTTTTTTTTTTTGCAACGGTAGTTATTCGTTTAGCAAAACATCATCGGCATGGGCTCGGCCGGTGCATTTGCAGCACGGCAGCACGGTTGCTACTGTTGCTACTGATGCTACTGATCAACAAAAGACAAAGATAAAAACACTGCTCAGATATCCGAGAGATTAGTGTAATTGTTGCAAGCACGGTGCTAGCACGGTGCAAAGAGAATAAAGAGAAAAGACGCACGAAATTTAACTACAATCACTTGTGCAAATATGTTCTACACTGCAAACACCATGCAAACGAAAGATTTTAGCTCCAAGACTCTGCAAACCGCCAGTGCAAATGAATGCAAATGAAATCGAACGGGAGATTCCGCCCCCACATAAATGGAAAGCAGAACTTTAGCTTGCATCCTTAAACAGGAAGGAATCGATGCCTTCTTATCGCTTGGCACGTGCTGAAGTACTGGTACCCTCGAGACTCGTTGGTACTTGTTTGATTTTGTTTGCGCGTTCGATGTTGTTTCAATGTATTTTAAAGAGGTTTGAAACGGTTTTCAAATGGTTCTGAAATGGTTTAGCCATGTATAAAACAACCATGAGTTGCAGGGGCCCAACCAAATTTCAGAAAGCCTAGCTAGGGATTTTAGAGTTTGAAGCATATTTTCCAGTCAAAAACAGGAGGAGATTCTTTTCCGCGGTAGTTTTTGGGCTGGGGATCAGTGAAACAATCATCTGCAGATGATGAAATTAAACCCAGTTCTCCAAAGTCACAGTTTCACGGCGATTATGCCGTATATCAATGTATATCAAGGATGCTGTAGCTAGTCCATGTCATATGTTTCTTTTGCTGCATCGTATTGCGATGCAGTATCTATTCCGAAATATTGCATGAAGTGCGCTCGCGGGCAGGAAGCGGCACATTCGAACAGTGGTGTGTCATCGACCTAGTCGATTCCAACGGCATCCGCTTAAAACCTTGTCATTGATCAACTGGTCCTGTGAAGCTGTTTCCACCATCCAGTGTAGTGTAGCCAGGTGTTTGATCAAAGAGAGCCCTTGAAAAAAAGTGCCCTTGTTCTGATTATATAACTGGTGCACCGCCAAACTGATATCATCCTAGGCAGTGAGAGAGCTTGGTGACTTGATTTGACAAAAAATGACAACTGATGACATCATTTCATGGTCCCAAAGTGCATTGTTCCCTCCTGGAGCTACACTGCGCTGAAGGACGAAGTTGTCTCTGAGGCAAGAGAATTGATGACATCGAACGACAAGAGCAGGTCGCACAGAGAGATATCTTTGAAGTGGGATTGAGCAACGAGGGTCAAGCAAGTCTTTCGACCAATCTCCTGTTACAGATGTTGTGAGGATATGATGAAAGCACTAAGACTCACAAACGATGAAAATGAGAAACGAGCGAAGGCAGCACAGAACACATGCAAGCACAGTGTTTTGTATTGTATGGCCCTGTGGCTGTGTATGGTATCTCTTCATGCTCGATTCCAGGAAGATCGAAATGCGATTTCCATCCTGAGAGATTGGCTGGAGCCTTTGCACTAGCAGTCACTAGTGCTTGCCGCTGCTTGCCGTCAATTCCTGAGCTTCACGCATCACGCATCACGCTGGCTAAGGGCCCGGGAAGCCAATCTGGAGACGAAAACGAAAGAGAATGTGCTGGCTTCTTAGAGGTATGCTGCATGTTGCTGCCTGCTCGTGAACGATCTTGAAGGTGAACCGGAGGCCACCGGTGGACAACACAGATCACTTGTGTGAAGATCTTGGTATAGGAGTCACCAGGGGATGGTTCTTATCCCTCGCCTGGTGCTGCGCACATCCATTTTGTGAAACTTTGAAGCCCTTTGCGCGTGCCTCAGGATGGAAATGGTGTCGACAGACTCGAAGAAACGGCAAGCATCGGCCCGGGTCCTGAAGAAGAAGCTCGGTGACCAGAGTGACCAGAGTGACCAAGGTGACCACAGTGACCACAGTGACCAAAGTGACCAGAGTGACCAGAGTGACCAGAGTGACCAGAGTGACCAGGGTGACCAGAGTGCCCAGAGTGCCCAGAGTTCATAGAGTTCATAGAGTGCCCAGAGTGACCAGTGTGACATCTATGCAGTCCAAAAGGCTGGTGGGCAGGGTCCTTCTTTTGTTTCTTCTCCTTTTTCCCCATGGCTGCAGCGAGCCAACCCCTGGTGCCTCTGAGCCCAAATCCTGCTCATTGGTGGTCATGGCTTATCCCCAAACCAAGGTATAAAGTCCAGACTTAGACTAGTTTATCCCCAAACCAAGGTATAAAGTCAAGACTTAGACTAGTCCCTGATGTCCCCTGATAATGAGTATGTGTACCTGAAAACGAGTGGAAATAATAAATGATAATTTATGTTATTTTATTTTTTTTATTTGTTGAATGGTTGGTGGGATACCTTCCAATGAGTGCACTTGTTCTCACAGAAGAGACTGGTTGTGGTCGATCTGCTGGAACCTCGCAGCCATTTGAGATTTTCGGCCCTTTTTGGGAACTCGTCCGTGAAGTACGCTGAAGCAGGAGCAGGTCCTTGGGTGCCAAAAAAAGGGTCTGTAGATGTCTGTAGAGTGTCTCAGTCAAACACATGTGTCGAAGACCTCAAATGCTCTTAGTAATTTAAGCGCTGGGGAGTCAGAACGCTTACACTGTCCTACCCTTTGAATGCCGCAACGGGCTATGGCTATCCTGCATTGACACTTGATTTCTGAAAGTGTTTGGATATGTTTGGACAGACATGGATAGATTCCACCCGAATCTGAATCGCTGCACCAAGGTTCCAGATGGAGCGCCCTACTTTCTTCCGCGCGGCAGATGACCTGGATTTGATGGCTCCGCTGAGCGACCTCAGCGACGATGACCTTGCTCCATGCGCAGCTCGTTCCATGGCACTCATGGCCAAGAAACGAGGACTGTCCCGCAGCCCAGGTCGGACCAGGTCAACTGTGCGATGTGTTTGCCATTTTTTGCTATCGCGTTGTGTCGCTGCCAATATTTTTGGAAATTCACCGATGAATTTCACGCATGCAGCCTGAGAACCCGAGAACATCCGAGAACCGGACATCGCAGAGTCAAGCGGAAAGGTTCAGGGAAACGCGTACGGCCTAATCTTAGTGAGCCGTTTGCAGATACAGCGTGACCTGGACTGTGCAACTGGATCGGTTTTGTGATGAGTATCTCTTCGGAAAATGTTGGGCTTGGTTTCTGTGGGACGCTCTTGTTCGTCGCAAGGAGTTGGCATGCGCAGGGCGATATCATTGCCAGAAAGTGATACACTTTGGACACATGACGTGATATGAATTGACATGTCGGTTGTCTCCAAGTGATCCAGGACTGGCCCAGAAGCAGCCCGAGGCTCCAAAACCTGCAAGGAGTGGCCGACAGCTGTGGGCAGACATCACTACGGACGATGAAGACGCTGAGCCCAAAGCATTCGCACTTTAGTCCGGTCAACACCATGCCACCTGCAATTCTTGCATCATCTTGCATCCTTAGCACTGATGTTTCATGTTTTTTTCTCCAGAATCAAACATGTTAGGTTTCATGATGTTTCATGT